AAGGCGCGGGCGAGCTCAGCATCTCAGAAGAAGCGTAACTAGTTCAACAGCCCTGCAGCATGCTCAAGTAAGCGAGCATGGCCATTTACTTGCAATTGTCATCATGTGACGACAGGATAGATACACGAGGCTTTTAATAGGCTATGTCAGATAATTCTGCTCCCTGTATTTGTTGATGTAGTTTATCAGCTAGTGGTACTGTAGCTAAGCTGTTAAGCTGTATATGTAGCTTATCAGCTTAGTACTGATAAGTTATATATATAGCTTATCAGTACGTTAACACATCCATTTGTTAACTTAAAAGGACGCTGAAGGAGTTTGATCATCTGTATGATTAGCGAAGGAGGACTCTACAGGTTCCCACAGGTGCTATGTAACCACCTGTGGGTACCACCTGTGGGGTACCACCAGGGGAGGGGCCCATGCACCATCTCAGGGTACCATCTGTGGCTACCACCTGGAGGAACCACCTGGAGTTCCAACGTTATTCAGACTGACTCAGCTTTTGCCTGTCCCGAAGGCCTGAGTGACTGCCATCGGTAGCGGCGTGAGTGATCTGATCAAGCGGCGTGAGTGAGTGAGCGGCGTGAGTGATCAACCAGGTATCAACCAGATCTGAGTGACTGCCACCTGAGTGACTGCCTGAAGCGGCGTGAGTGTTGGGTGCACTCACCTACTTGCGCTTGTGGGGGTGTTGAACTGCGGCTCTTTGGTCCCGCCTCTCAACCGTCAATCATCTGTTTTACAGGTTCCTGAACCTCTATTGGCCTCAATCATATCTACATCTGAAATTGCGAATGGAGTCTGCCTCCACTATGTCACTTACTATAGTGCATATGATTCCACCTGTTAAGTGGAAAAAGAAAACACATTCTTATGTCTCTATGGCTCACTGGTGAGGTGGTGGTGGCGTCCGTGTAGGAGCGCTCCCTACACCCTCACCTGGGAAAAGCAAACCTTGACAGCGTCTTCATAAACCTGTCAAGAGAGTCGTAAGACTAAAGCAAGCTTGGGGAAGACGACCTCAACCCCGAATCCCACGACACATAAACGACTCTTGTTGACCCCTGCCACCAAGCTCGTCTCACTTTCTTACCTACTTTCTTCCTCACTTTCTTGCCCACTTTCTTCCTCACTTTCTTGCCCACTGTCTTCCTCACTTTCTTGCCCACTTTCTTGCCCACTTTCTTGCCCACTCTCTTGCCCACTTTCTTCCTCCCTTTCTTGCCCACTGTCTTCCTCCCTTTCTTCCTCATTTTCTTGTCCACTTTCTTCCTCACTTTCTTGTCCACTTTCTTCCTCACTTTCTTGCCCACTCTCTTGCCCACTTTCTTGCCCACTTTCTTCCCCACTTTCTTGCCCACTGTCTTCCTCCCTTTCTTGCCCACTTTCTTCCTCCCTTTCTTGCCCACTTTCTTCCTCCCTTTCTTGCCCACTTTCTTCCTCACTTTCTTGCCCACTTTCTTCCACACTTTCTTGCCCACTTTCTTGCCTACTTTCTTCCTCACTTTGTTGCTCAAAGGGTATTTTCTCTGGGGGGCGCACATCTACCACCGACGTTTATCTAACGTAAACAAACATTAAACTCGCAATTACTTAAGACGTTCACTAAGTAGAAAAACAAATGAATGGTTAACCCGGTGTTTACTGACACATGGACGATCTGTCAGTTTCCGCTCTACATTTTCGCCTTAATGTAGCCGAGACGGTGAACAGTGTTGCCGGGTGAGTGACCGTGCAGTAACCCCACAGTGGTGCCGGGTGAGTGACCGTGCAGTAACCCCACAGTGTTGCCGGGTGAGTGACCGTGCAGTAACCCCACAGTGTTGCTAGGTGAGTGACCGTGCAGTAACCCCACAGTGTTGCCGGGTGAGTGACCGTGCAGTAACCCCACAGTGTTGCTAGGTGAGTGACCGTGCATTAACCCCACAGTGTTGCCGGGTGAGTGACCGTGCAGTAACCCCACAGTGTTGCTAGGTGAGTGACCGTGCAGTAACCCCACAGTGTTGCCGGGTGAGTGACCGTGCAGTAACCCCACAGTGTTGCTAGGTGAGTGACCGTGCAGTAACCCCACAGTGTTGCTAGGTGAGTGACCGTGCAGTAACCCCACAGTGTTGCCGGGTGAGTGACCGTGCAGTAACCCCACAGTGTTGCTAGGTGAGTGACCGTGCAGTAACCCCACAGTGTTGCCGGGTGAGTGACCGTGCAATAACCCCACAGTGTTGCCGGGTGAGTGACCGTGCAGTAACCCCACAGTGTTGCCGGGTGAGTGACCGTGCGGTAACCCCACAGTGTTGCCGGGTGAGTGACCATGCAGTAACCCCACAGTGTTGCCGGGTGAGTGACCGTGCAGTAACCCCACAGTGTTGCTAGGTGAGTGACCGTGCAGTAACCCCACAGTGTTGCTAGGTGAGTGTCCGTGCAGTAACCCCACAGTGTTGCTAGGTGAGTGACCGTGCAGTAACCCCACAGTGTTGCTAGGTGAGTGACCGTGCAGTAACCCCACAGTGTTGCTAGGTGAGTGACCGTGCAATAACCCCACAGTGTTGCTAGGTGAGTGTCCGTGCAGTAACCCCACAGTGTTGCTAGGTGAGTGACCGTGCAGTAACCCCACAGTGTTGCTAGGTGAGTGACCGTGTAATAACCCCACAGTGTTGCTAGGTGAGTGACCGTGCAGTAACCCCACAGTGTTGCCGGGTGAGTGACCGTGCAGTAACCCCACAGTGTTGCCGGGTGAGTGACCGTGCAGTAACCCCACAGTGTTGCTAGGTGAGTGTCCGTGCAGTAACCCCACAGTGTTGCTAGGTGAGTGACCGTGCAGTAACCCCACAGTGTTGCTAGGTGAGTGACCGTGCAGTAACCCCACAGTGTTGCTAGGTGAGTGACCGTGCAGTAACCCCACAGTGTTGCTAGGTGAGTGTCCGTGCAGTAACCCCACAGTGTTGCTAGGTGAGTGACCGTGCAGTAACCCCACAGTGTTGCTAGGTGAGTGGCCGTGCAGTAACCCCACAGTGTTGCTAGGTGAGTGACCGTGCAGTAACCCCACAGTGTTGCTAGGTGAGTGACCGTGCAGTAACCCCACAGTGTTGCTAGGTGAGTGACCGTGCAATAACCCCACAGTGTTGCCGGGTGAGTGACCGTGCGGTAACCCCACAGTGTTGCCGGGTGAGTGACCGTGCGGTAACCCCACAGTGTTGCCGGGTGAGTGACCGTGCAGTAACCCCACAGTGTTGCCGGGTGAGTGACCGTGCGGTAACCCCACAGTGTTGCCGGGTGAGTGACCGTGCACTAACCCCACAGTGTTGCCGGGTGAGTGACCGTGCAGTAACCCCACAGTGTTGCCGGGTGAGTGACCGTGCAGTAACCCCACAGTGTTGCCGGGTGAGTGACCGTGCAGTAACCCCACAGTGTTGCCGGGTGAGTGACCGTGCAGTAACCCCACAGTGTTGCTAGGTGAGTGACCGTGCAGTAACCCCACAGTGTTGCTAGGTGAGTGACCGTGCAGTAACCCCACAGTGTTGCTAGGTGAGTGACCGTGCAGTAACCCCACAGTGTTGCCGGGTGAGTGACCGTGCAGTAACCCCACAGTGTTGCCGGGTGAGTGACCGTGCAGTAACCCCACAGTGTTGCCGGGTGAGTGACCGTGCAGTAACCCCACAGTGTTGCCGGGTGAGTGACCGTGCAGTAACCCCACAGTGTTGCTAGGTGAGTGACCGTGCAGTAACCCCCACAGTGTTGCTAGGTGAGTGACCGTGCGGTAACCCCACAGTGTTGCTAGGTGAGTGACCGTGCAGTAACCCCACAGTGTTGCTAGGTGAGTGACCGTGCGGTAACCCCACAATGTTGCTAGGTGAGTGACCGTGCAGTAACCCCACAGTGTTGCTAGGTGAGTGACCGTGCGGTAACCCCACAGTGTTGCTAGGTGAGTGACCGTGCAGTAACCCCACAGTGTTGCCGGGTGAGTGACCGTGCAGTAACCCCACAGTGTTGCCGGGTGAGTGACCGTGCAGTAACCCCACAGTGTTGCCGGGTGAGTGACCGTGCAGTAACCCCACAGTGTTGCTAGGTGAGTGACCGTGCAGTAACCCCAAAATGCTGCCGTATAAAATTAGCAGCAAAGAGGTACCTGGGAGTTAGACAGCTGCTACGGGCTGCTTCCTGGGGGGGGGGATTGTGTAACAAAAAGTGAATGCGTGGTCGAAGACAGGGCCGCGGGCACGCTAAGCCCCGTAATAACCTCAAGATAAGATATAACCCCAGCAGTAACTGGGTACCTGGTTGTAAACCAATAGCAGGGTCGAGTTCCAGGGGGAAAAAATGAAGGGGAAGAGAAGGGAACGATCAGGAGAAAGCGCCAAGCCATTAAACGATTTTATATATATATATAACACCTGGAAGGGGGTCAGGATAAGGGTTTGGGATGGGACGAAGGGATGGAATGGTGCCCAACCACTTGGATGGTCGGGGATTGAACTCCGACCTTATCTTGAGGTTATCTTGAGATGATTTCGGGGCTTTAGTGTCCCCGCGGCCCGGTCCTCGACCAGGCCTCCACCCCCAGGAAGCAGCCCGTGACAGCTGACTAACACCCAGGTACCTATTTTACTGCTAGGTAACAGGGGCATAGGGTGAAAGAAACTCTGCCCAATGTTTCTTGCCGGCGCCTGGGATCGAACCCAGGACCACAGGATCACAAGTCCAGCGTGCTGTCCACTCGGCCGACCTGCATGAAGCCAGACCGTAGCTCTACCGTCCACCTCCAGGTGACTGGGCCAAGGTTTAAGGCGAAAGCTCTCAGACTGCTAACAAAGACTCAAGAGGTCGTTCGCGCCTTAACCACGTGTGTAAACAAATCAACTACATTTTAAAAGTGCACTGGACACTTAAGAGGCTTTAAAGAGGATATGAATAAATAGTATTTAACGTCGAGTCCTTGTAAAATAGTGAGGCTGACCCAGAAATTGAAATAAACAATCAATTTGGCTCAGAAAGCTGGCCAA